TCCACTTGTTTGGCTGCAGGACCCTTTGTGCCCATAGTATCTTCATCTGAGCACACCATTCCTGCAGGCCAAGGTGTCAGACATCCGTTAAACCTGACAGGAGTGTGCGTTTTCCGTCTATCCGTGTGTTTTTGTCATTTGTTGCTCCAAGGACGACCACGACGGCGGTGGCGGCGGCCTAGAGCAGAGCGGGGCGAGATGGATGCTTTGCGAACATGGACTATCATTAAGGCTAGCGTGTGATTGATTAGCAGAATCAAAGTGGCTGGATGTTAACATAAAACTCGCAAATGGCTCCAATTTGAATGTGTGACTTATCAACACAGCACAGTCCATCAACATAAAAACCCAGAGCACCAGAGTTAATTTAACGGAAGAGAGGTAATTTTTCATTAGACAGTAATTAGATGCTATTAATTGGAAAACATTGAGTGTGGCATGTGGCAGGTGCCCAGGCTGAGTAATGGCAGGGCTTTTTTTTTTTTTTTTTTTTTTACAAAGCATCAAGCGCACACAAATTTGGAATACAGACGTGGGTCATTTTGTTTTCACATTTATGCTAATGTTGATGAGTGAAGTCATGTTTTCCACTCTGGAAAACTTAAGTTGAGTATTCTGTAAGGTTTCGAGTTGAGGGTCCATTTTATAAAGACGTCTGGATGCGGTACTATAAAATGTTTTGATAGCAAAGACAAATATGGACATTTTGTATGCAATGTGACTTTGTTCGTTGTGCCTTGTTTTTGATGGGTACATGAATAACCCTAAGGGGCGACAGTGGCTCAGTTGGTAGAACATTGGCCTTTGGGCCTGAAGGTCGTGGGTTGGTTCCCCCCCCGCAATACCTATTCCAACTGCTCCCACTCATGTCTACTGTCGCTGTGTTCTTTGGCAAGACACTTAACCCCATGTTGCCCGAAGCCTCCGCTGAAAGACCAAGGCTGTGTCACCGCTGACGGAGCAGCCATCTTCCTGTGGACTCACCACTACACCACCTGCCGGAGGATCAGTGAGGGGCCGGTGCTATGAGCATTGGGTGGCAGCTCTGATTGTCACCCCCCTGACCCAGAAATGGAATAATAAAGGGGTATAAAATAAATGAATGAATGAATAACGATAAAGTATCTGACTATCTAACTGTCTGTCTATCTCTGTCCATCTACCTATATATTCATTTGTTACCTATCCATCATAGTTTTGTTAAGCCAGGTGCAAAAAATCTACTGAAACTTGCACAATACATAGATATAATCCATAGTTACGTTACGTTTTTATCTTTGCATCCACAAAGTAAAGAAAATAAACCTAGATGCATTGTCAGTAATACAATCTGGAATGGTCTTCTTGAAAATGTGAGCAAGGCCTCTACTCTATCCAAGTTAAAAGAGTTCTGTTTAGCTGTAAATACAACTGAAATATTTGATCTCCACTCTTTGAAAACACATGTACTGTTATACGTACTGTTTATTATGATTTTAATGTTTTCTTGTTTTGTACGTCACAAGGAAAACATGCTTAGCTTTGCAACCTCCTCATTCAGAACAGCAGCAGATACAGATGTTGACATTTCATTCTCAAAGGCTGAACAATGCATAATACGGGACCTTTAACTTTCCGCCAAGACCCTTCTTAAAAACCTCCTCTATTCAAAACGCAGCCACACCAGTGTCACTCAACCCCATACATAGTCCTGCATGTTATCCCTGGTGTATAATCCCTACCCATCCTTTGTCTCCCTTGTCTCCCCACATAACCTGCTTCTCATCTCTTGGACCTCTCCTGGTTTCGTTACAGTCAACAACCGAGTGACAGAGGCCCGGAGCGCGCCCCCCTGACCCTGCGTCCTGAGTCTTCTCTTTTAATCGCTGCCTCCCCCTCCTTTCACCGTGGGCTACTTAAACTGTCCCATGCCTTAAAACTGCGGGTCCTACGGGTGCTGGGTGATTGCGCATTGAGCAAAAGAGGCGAGGATTAACAGCGACACTCGATAAAGGGTTCAGAGGTCTCGCAGTGATTATTTGTGTGTGCTGTATATGGGACAGTAGGTGTGTGTGGATCAGAAAAAAGGGTGAGGGGGGGGGGCATTGCTGCGAGCTGGAATAGATGGATAAGGTTAGTGGAGTTATCGGACAGGAGCATCACAATCAGGCTGTCAGCTCACCGCCAGCCTCTCTCCCTTGCTCTCTCTCACCCGTCCTTTTGATAAACACAGGAATAGGATTACAATTTGGGCCAGTCCCGGGGCACACAGAGAAGACTGCCCTGCCTTTCAACCGCATTCTCTGCCCAAAGAAAAGAGCACAAGAAGGGGACAAATCGGGGTGGCGTGCGCGAGAAGGTGTACGGGTGGAGAGAGCGCGCAGCCACAAGGTGAAGGAGGTGATCTTCACTAAAGCTGTCACGTTCACAGGAAATGTCAGCTCCTCAGATTGTATCCAAACGGGAGAGATCTGACACAGTGTGGACGTATTGGGAGATGTCTGTGATCTAATTCTCTTCATGGGATTCCTAGTAAATAATATAGTAATATTAATAGTAATACGTGTATACATTTATATATTTGTTGCACTTGAAAACACAGTATTATAGACTTGCTTCTCTATTATGTTAAAGTTGGAGATTTTAATACTAGCTTTTGTTATCCTAAAGTGTGAGATTTTATACTTACTTCTTTATCATCTTAAAGTCTGGGATTTTATTCTTGCTTCTTTATCATCCTAAAGTCTGAGATTGTATGCTTAATTCTTGCTTCTTCATTATGCCAAAAGCCACTTGCTTCTTTTTTATGCTAAAAATGTTTTATTCCAATCTATTTTATTTCATAATAGAGTTATTGTTAATTTATCAAGGCTGTGTCACCGCTGACGGAACAGCCATCTTCCTGTGGACTCACCACTACACCACCTGCCGGAGGATCAGTGAGGGGCCGGTGCTATGAGCATTGGGTGGCAGCTCTGATTGTCACCCCCCTGACCCTGAAATGGAATAATGAAGGGGTATAAAATAAATGAATGAATGAATAACGAGACTTTATTGAAAAATATTAAAGGAAGATTAGATTGTCCAGTTGTTTGAAGACACTGACTCACTCAATTCACTTTCAATTTATTTCACTTCGGTGTATTTCTGTATATAGCTCTAAATCACAACAGCAGTCGTCTGAGAGAACTTTACAAAGTTGTCAATTCACCAACAACAGATCAGAGAATCAATCAGTTCCAATAGGGAATGCCATAATAACACATGGGAATGGGATGACCGATGTCCATAAATATTATGACATTTTCTTAAATGTATCGAATCATCACTGTTCTTAGACCCTCCTGCATCTCCAAGGATCGACTCTAAAAACCCAGTTGGAAAAAGTGAGAAACCTCGGGGAGGCCTATAAAGAGGCTATTGAACCAGGACTCTGGCTGTAGAACAAAAGGCTTCAGGTTTGCTCCTTTCTAGATTAAAATACATTTATTTTTATTATATTTATTTATTGATTTTATCAGGACAAAACATTCATTAAAAATCAAATAATAAAATATCATTGTCAGAGAAGAGGCCTGTCTCACATTTTCAGAAAGATTGTTGGAGACTTTAGCTGCATCTGAAACGCAGCCTCCCCATATGTAGAATATTTCATTTTTGTTCCACACATGTGAATGTATGATTGTATTGTGACTATTTCCTGGTGTAAATATTGCCATAGGTTAAACTTTAAGCTCAGACAATGGGGGCTAGAAAGTTGACAGCGAAATAACTTGTTTGTGCAGCGTTTGCCCCTGAACGCACCACAATAGCTGAGCAGTAATTGGCTTTGCGTCTGTTGTTTTGTTTACTGTAATAACACTTGTTCCTATGATGACAACACAAAGCCCATGTTGTTCTTGTTTTGTTTACTTTGTTCGGTTCACAAAAGGTTCACGCTTCCCCCGTCCCCCTCGCTGATACAAAGTCACACATTTTTAAAACATAATTCTGCAGAGGACTATGAACTGGTGTCTGGGACGGAGAGCAGAGCCACAGCCCAATTAAGACACATTAATTATGGGCAGAGTGCATGACGTGGAGGCGCAGAGGTGCAGGCTTCTGGAAAGTGTCCTATTCCCCACAACTCTCAGTGTAGAAACATATCTGCAGCTCTGGCCTGGATGCATGGATGAACACTGATGAAAGCAGCAGGTCCCTGGGTTTTAAGAAGCTCTGTCACAGACTCTGACCTGCTCTTCTACATGTGCTGCTCCAACAACCTCGCTCTCAAATATCTATTATTCTTGTCATGATCCAGTCCAGAGTGATTGAGGGAACACATGGACGACAGGGCTCCATGTGAACTAGTCCATGTGCAGGGAGGATGTGAAAAATGTATATATTGATAAGTGAAGCTAAACATTGCACAGTGCTGGTGTATCTATTTATTATTGCTTTAAACAGTTACAAGTGTTGTTTTGTGGTTTAATTGTGCCTACAGACCATGTGTCCACCATGTGCTCAATAGTGCTCCAATAGTCTTTTGAGTAGAGCAAACCTGGGCTGGCTGTGATGAAATGGTTGGAAAGAACACCCACTGCTGAATATGATTCAGTGACACAGCTTTCTAACAAAGCCTGTGTAATGCATATGTCCAAATGCATTACAGCCTTTGTTCACAGCACTAAGTGAAAGTTGAGCTGGCAGCAGAACTGGCTGTTGTTTCAAATAGGATCATGAAGAATCATGAACATCTTCATGTGCTCCAGCAACAAGTGCAAACCTCCTGAAACCCTGAATGAACACAGATCCTGCACCATTCTTTTGTAAAGACCAAATCCCTCTTTTCCTGCCTTTCCAGACATAATGTGGCTTCCACAAGGTCCAGCCAGAAATCTTGCGGCATGGCCGTGAAATAAAGGAAGAGCTGCCATGCCTGACTATGCCAGTGAATAAAGCCAAGGCAAATTGCTCGGGGAGAGTTTGGTCCAATTGGATGGCATCCCTTGGTATGTAATTCCCGTGGCACGTCGTTGGCAATGGCGCCGTGCGCCTCAATCAGGTGTGGGCCCGCAGCGAGCCCGCTCATTTGCATGTCCAAGTATGAGGGAATTCCTCTTAGGAAGAAACCGGGCTTTGATGTGGCCATTCCCACTGGATTATGGACTAAAATAGACAGTAATGGATCAGTGAAGTCATTCATCAGCAGTGTGGCGGCCAGGCTCCTTCACCTCTTTAACCAGGAGCTGCTTCAAAGAGAAAACCGTGAGCTGTGGCCTCAGTCTGAGGTCAATGGGACTGGAGTCAAACCCTCATGTGGGTGAAGTCTGAATGTACAGGTGATCAGCTGTTTCTCTTCCTCATCTATCAATGGATATTATCTTTATTTAAGCTTAGTTCAGAGATTATTTTATTGTAGAAACATAATATAGGACTAAGCTCTTTAGGAAACAACTCAGAAAGTCAGTTTGAAGTGTATAATGGAAAGTGAAAAAAGTGATATACCCTGAGTGTGAGCTGTCAGTTTGGTAATCAAGTAACACAATGTGTTTGGTCTCATTCAGTCGTATGCCACAGATATCTATTTATCAAGGAAAGCATATCCTTCTCTTTTATTCACTGCTTTTCACTTCTTTCAAATGCACTGGCCTATCACCTCAGTACAACTGATTATTTGATTCCTAATACATTGCATTTTGTTAAGGCAAAAGCGATATACATGCAGAAATATTCATCACTTTGAATGTAGTTCAAAAATCACCTGTCGGTATCAAATAAACATAAAAATTGAATAGCTTGGGTGATAAGGTCAGTCTGCTGTTAGCTTACCAGTGCTAACCACAGCTAATTCATGCATCAGAGTCCCTTGTGTTATTTAACCATTTATGCAAGTGACCCTTCCGTTTTCAGAGGCGTATTGCTAACATTTCTATGCTTTACTTCTTTCGCTTTACCTCTGCTCCTGTCATTTCACCAGCGTATGAAAAGTAATTATGTCCTCACCTCCTCTGTATTATACTCGGAGTTAGCCCGGCCGGTTTGATCCCGCCACAGTGCGCCGCGTGTGAGCTTGTGTCTGCGTGCACGTGTCCTCAACAGGTAAAGCCAAGAGGACAGCGGAGAGAATGATGGAGACAGAGACACACGGGGAAAGCGGAAAAGATAAACACTATGACCTTCTGTTTCTGCCAATTTCCCGCGGTCGCCCCCCACCCCCCTCCTCTCGCACCTCCCCTCACCCCTCTCTCCGCCGCGTCGCCTTCAGCTCTGTGTCGGACCAATCCTTTTTGGAGGGATAAATAGCACTGCTGCGCTTTGATAGCCCCAGTCCCAAACAGCAGCCTCCGATAAATAAAAGAGGAACTTTCTCCATTTATCTCGCCGGAGAAAGAAGTTCCTATTAGGGTCCCCATAGCCGCAGGCCCATTCCCTCCTTCACTGCACAGCTTTGTAGATTGCCTGCTTGGTTTAAGGTGCTATTGAGTGCTCACCGGGACAATTACATGCCCGGACCCCCCCTGAGGAAATGTCCCCTCCCATCCACTCGGCTGTACCTCTGTGCCGGTGTGGCAGGAGATGCTCAGCGATAGGCCCGAGTGTGGATAGGGTTGTGGTTGTGGCGGTGGTATGTGTGTGAATGTGATAATGGTTCGTCTGAATGCTATGGAAGAAAGTATCATTGCTCAGGGCCTGGAGTCAGACAGTGATGTCTAATGCAAATAGCCTTGGCCCCTCGTGCTCCTCTCTCCGTCGGAGGCAATGATAGCTCCTGCAAACAGTAGGTATGGGGAAACAGAGCGTTGCCGCGGAGACGTATAAATAAAAATAGCAGGGATATGACTTTTGGTTAACCCGCGGGGAACCGGCGGAGACACCCTTGGACTCTTCCTTCAGGCTGCTTTTACCACTCAATATTAAACAGAGGATGGCAAAGGTGCATGGCTATCACTTAAATATAATCTATATGGAATCATTCTGTATTACGGAGCAGAGAATTACACGACTAAGGTATACGGCGTCAGTTATTATGGCAAATGCATCCATTCAAAAATAGCATGATTCATTCTGTATAAATATGTTAATGAGGCGTTTAGGCGTCAAAGTAGCGGAATTGCTACATAAACTCTGGAATCTAGGACAGTTTCTGTACAGGGACTTGGCTTCCCACAAACTTTACACATCTTTGTATTTTATTTTTGTTATAAGGTTTCAGTCCATCATATTTGTGAGGAAATAGAATCTGGAGGGTAAAAAAGGGTTAAACTTTATTCAATCAATATTTACAGAATACATATAGAATTGCGCTTTGGGTCTAGTAATATTTATAATTTATATTTGGACTTTTTTCCGCAGTGTAATCTAAAACGTTGAGTTTGTTAATGAAGATATTGGGCCTCGTTCACGAACGGTTCTTAGGAACAGATTTGTACGTAAATCCTACTTACGAGGTTTTTACGAAGAAAGTGGCATTCACGAATATTTCTCGTAACCAGAATTTCTCTTGGGCAAGTACAAATCCTACGAGTCCTCAGGAGCACTCGTACGCATTCAGTGCCGACATGTTCACACGCCGGGGTTGTCCTCTTTGGTGACGTTGAATAAAAATACAACATTCCAGTGATATGTCCGACATATCGATGTATGTATTTATTTATTTGTAGTAATCTTTATTAGTAATCTTTATTTATATACCGCCTTTTTCACTGCAGATCTGGCCTACTTTTTAATTCATTTTGAAATGAAATGTGCCAACGCTTTATCAAATACATTGGAAATCTTGCCGTGTATTAGTGACCCCTTCCTATTTATAGGGGGCATTTCTTTATCCACGGGCCACAGAACAACGGCATATATACTGCTGCTGCAGGAAGTTACTGGGTCCGCGCTGAGTCTCTGCGCTGGTTTCTCCTATGGATCTATACGGGTCTGCACTGGTCTCTCCCATGGATCTATACGGGCCTGCACTGGTCTCTCCCATGGATCTATACGGGTCTGCGCTGGTGTCTCCCATGGATCTATACGGGTCTGCGCTGGTGTCTCCCATGGATCTATACGGGTCTGCACTGGTCTCTCCCATATACGGGTCTGCGCTGGTGTCTCCCATGGATCTATACGGGTCTGCACTGGTCTCTCCCATATACGGGTCTGCACTGGTCTCTCTCCATACGGGTCCGTGCTGCATGCTCCTGGATCCATACGGGTCCGCGCTGGTCTCTCAAGTCTGGTCTATGCGGTCTCTCTTCGGTCCGCGCTGGTCTCTGCGCACCGGTCTCTCCAGTCAGGTCACTACAGTCTATGCGGTCTCTCCAGTCAGGTCACTCCAGTCTATGCGGTCTCTCCTATAGGTCCGCGCTGGTTTCTGTGTGCTGGTCACTCCAGTCTCTCCTCGGGTCTGCATTGGTCTCAGCGCTGGTCCGCGCTGGATCTCCTCCCAGGGTCCAAAATATTTTGAGATTAATCTCAAAACATTTTGAGATTCATCTTTAAAATAATACATAATATATTTTTAAATTAAGCTCATAACATTTTGAGAATATTCTCATCATATTCTTAGATTAATCTCATAATTTTGCTAGTTCGACTTTATTCTCATAATATTTCAACTTTTAAGTCAACATTTTGTAACTTTATTCTCAGTCTGGCAAAAGAAGAAAAAAGGGTGACTCTTTTGCTCCGTGTAACTCTTTGCTTTAGGCCTGTTGCTGTTTCCTCTGCCGTCTGCACACGGCCCTGCAGCCCCTTATATGGGCATTAGTGGGCGGTTACTTATGCTAAGTACCTATGCTAATGAAGCACCTGGCACGCGCGCTGTACTTACGAGGAAATGGGATTCATCAATCTGAGAGAACAGCTGCGAACAATTCAGCGGCTTACGAGTGCGTTGATGAATCCCACGTAGGGACTTCTTAGAAATCTACTTGAGGAGAAATTTGAGAAGTTTCTTACGAAGTTATTCGTGAATGAGGCCCAATGTGTTCATTTACACTTGCCTCATTACACAACACTGTAAGCAAAATTACAGTTAATTGCAGTGGCCGGCAGCAGTTTTTTTGTATTTTTAATTTTTTTTGATATAGAATGATTGTGTCATTCCACAAATTGTTCCCTTTGAATTTACTTTTTTTTATCATTGGACTCAGACCAAAGCAGATCTATGACACTAAAGCCCCAAATGAACCAACTCAGACTTCGAGGATACAGGGACTGTCTTCCTGAAAATGTGAGACATGTCTCTACTCTGACAATGTTTTGTTAATCACTTAGAGTTGCCTTGTGTATGAACTGTGCTATACAAATACACTACCTAAAACTTTGCAGGTAGTTGGCTGGTATTATTTTCTGTATTATCTAAAGTCAGTGTTCCGTAAAAAGCTATTTCTTGAACCAAAAAGACTTGGGAATATGATGTTTGTGTGCCAGCTACTCTCAAAATCAATCTCAAATACTTTGTCCTTGTGTTACTTTCGGTTGGAATTCGAAGAAAGATTTTTGCCAGGATACGAATCGATAAGACATTGTGGTTAATTGGCGCACAAATAAAACCACTGCACAACAAGCAAGCAACATTTTCAAAAGCTCGCCACAATGTTGCCCTCCACAAACTTTCCTTTCTTCCCGTTTGGATGAATCTTCCACCGATACATTAAATTTGGAGCTGGTGCTGAACTAAAGCCGCCCGCCTCTCTGTCAGAATGACTTTTCTCAGCCTGGAGGCAACTTAAGACACACAGTTACACTTCCCCCGCGGGCCTCCTCTATTTCCTCTTTCACTGGATTTTTTTTTATTTTTATCATTTGATAACATATAAAGTGAAGATTTCTGTGAGGAGAAATATAGAGGTGGTGAGAAAAGAATCACGCTGGGGTTTTCAGAGCGACTTGGCCTCGGACCGGGCATGTCAATCTCATTTCCGACAGCCTCACCAAATCACGCGTCTTCAGGACTTCAAATGAGAGCGGCGGATTGGCGAGGGGTTCACAGTCCAAGGATTCACCTGCACCAGATACCGATATTTTCCACTATATTGTTAAATCACCCACAGCCAATAGTGCTACATGGTGTGCCTTACAAGCCCGACAGGATAAACTGTGTAGAGGGAGAGCACAAAGAAACCCAGGGCATTGTTTGTTTGGCTCTATAAGAGGAAGAATAGAGGAGACTTTGTACCTTCTTGATAAAGCGATCTGGATATTCATTTTCATTGAATTTTAAGTTTGCAGAAGAAAATGTGTGAATAGGAAATGGGGTGGGATTGAAAAAAAAAAGATCTTCTTCCCACTCAATTTCAGGCATAATTGATTTTGATTTTGTTAAAGATATGTG